CGTCCAGGAAATATATCAGTCCAAGAAAGGTGAGGCAAACATTCTCCTCATGTTTTGTCTGCACTGGCTAAAATATCAATGTTGGAAACAGACTGTGTTACGCAGAAGTGGCCTTAAAATAGTTCCTGATGATAATTATACAAATTAATACATAAATGTGGTTTATTTACAACGCTCACCTGTGTCGCCGCCTAACACCAGTGATGAGGGGTCCTGTTGCGACACTGCTGTTACAGTGGATGATGTGGATGCTGGAGATGATAAACCCACTTCCAGGGCTGTTGAGCAGGTTCTGGGTTGTGATTGGTCGGTGGGTTGTGTGGGAGGTTGAACAAGGGAAGGGTCGGCAATGGGTTTAGAGGGACTGCCTCCTGTCACAGGGCTGCAGACGCCAGAGCTGTCTTCTGGACAGAGGAAGACGTCGATCGGGCCTCGCGTGCTCTTCAGCGACACCTGGTAACCCTTGGATGTGCATGCAGATGTGCACCGTTAGCAGAAACTCCAACAACAGTGAGTCCAGTGACCTGGGCAAAATGTTTTCAAAGCTTTTACCTCAGAGGGCTCTGAAACTTGCATCTGGGTCTCTGGTGGAGCTCTGATCACCATAACCAGCTGGTCGGGGGAATCGAACGACTGCCTCAAGTCCTGACAGCGCACATACCCCAACGTGATGAACTCAGCGATTAAGGAATAATTTCATTTATTCATTGATGTAAATGTTTAGGCCATCTGTCTTTTGACATCTGTTTCTGAGTGACGCACAAGTCACGAGCATCACGTGTCTAGCTCGGCTCCACTGCTGCTGCTAGAGCCGCTTTCCGTTTAACAGATCGCAGCTCATCACTTAGAGATCACAGAGCTGTGCACACGTGACGAGTCTGCACACGGCAACACTCCGAGCTCTGTAACCACTTTAGACAACCTGATACTCAAAACAAAAAGGATATTTTTTGTTCTGTGGGTCCTCTGTGAGCAATCTGAGCTGCAGATTGCATTTGGAAATGAGCTCATCCAGCTGCTCCTCAGCATCTGTGAGGTCACACACCTCCCTCTGCAGCTCCTTATGGCGGGAAACCAGAGCCGCATCAATGCGATTACCACTGCAGGGGTAGACGAGAGAAAAACTGACTGCTTAGGTTCACCAGACACACACACACACACCAAGCACTCAAATTTATTCTGCCACAGTTCCTGCTCCCGTTCCCAGATTTCTTTCATTTGCTGTTTTAGGCATCTTTGAACACTTACAGCCACTGGATGTTGTTCTTTGACTTCTTGGAGATGAGCTGGATCCCCTCCAGGACATTGGTTATGTCGTAGATGCGTCTCTTCTGAACATCGAGCACCTGAGACGCCCAGTTCAGATCCACCACGCCGTCGGCCGACTGGGACAACAGGTCCAGAAAGCGCTTTGTGGTCAGGTTCAAAGAAGTGTCATACCGAGACTTCTCTGCCGTGTTCCGAGGAACTGGGAAGAAAGAGAATACATACAAGAATTAAAAGAAATGCACATATTACTGGTCTAGAGTACACCCTGGACAGGTTGCCAGTCTGTCAGAGGGCTAACGCATAGAGACAGACAACAACACACTCAGTCACACCAATGGGCAATTTAGGGTTACAATTAACCTAACCCCACTAACTACAATGTCTTCAGACAGTGGGAGGAAGCCAGAGTACCTGGAGAGAACACAAACGCAAACTCCACAGAGAAGGACCCTGGCCTGATGGTGGAACTGAACTCAGGACCCATTTGCTGTGAGGCAACAGTGCTAACCACTGTGCTTTTGATATATAAAAATAAAGAATTCCCCCCTCGCTCCTCTCTGCTATCCAGCTGTGCATATCGTCAATGACTGATACTGAAAAGTTGCTTTGCATCCATCTCCTTCCAAACAGATCCCAGTGGAAATCCACATGGACTGCATTTCTAACAATTCAGAAGTCTATCTTGCATGAGGGATAGACTCATATTTCTACATTATACCAATTAATATAATGTGTGTGTCACGTGTAGCTTTTCCATTTCAAGTCCATCATTTGATCCTTTTGGTACATGCAGTGAGCCCAAATACTGCAAATGAAAGGGATCAAATGAACTGATAAACCGCAACGCCTCTTCTCTTGCTCCATTTTCAAAAAAACAGTCTCTCCATTATTTGAATAGACAGATATTTGTAAGTTTCTCTCAATACAGCCAGCCTGGAGGAGACAGGATGACAGGCCGTGCTGATAAAAGAACGGCTGCTTTTATGACAATGACTGAGGGCAAAGGTGAGCAAGGATGTGTGGGCGAGGATTTTTTAGTGTGGGGTGTGGGCTGTCAGCTGTACCTCTGGGAGGAGCAGGAGTGGAAAGCGGTGCCTGGCCTGTGGAAGGTCGAGTGGTGCTGACATACTGATGGTCACTGTCCAGGTCCAACTTCCTTTTTACCTGAAGGAACACACATGTCTGGAGTAAGAAACAGACGTAAGACAGTAACAGACAAACTGCTGACACAGACACGCACTGTTTACGAGCAGAGAAATGTTAAACTGATACCAGCAACAGGTGGTAACTCACAGCAGCTCTGCTACGTGCAGTATGTAAACGAACAACTCCTCAGTTTAACCACTTCCCTTATTGCTCTTTCACTTTCTCTCTCTCTCTCTCTCCCCTTTCCTCCCACACCTCCCTTCCTCACCGGTGGCCTTCCCAGAGGTGGTCTCCTCTTGTCCTGGATCCCTACGTCAGCTGGGCCCTGCGGAGTGGCGAACAGCAGGATCTCCCCCGTGCTTGTCGGGGCAGGGGCTGGGTGGAGTCCTTCATTGCTGGGGCTGGTGATAATCACTATCTGGTGGTCCTCGTCCAAGTTGATACTCCCAGAGTTCAGCAAAGTCTCAAAGTCTGCTAACAGATCCTCCGATGTCTGCCCTGTTATCAGAGTCTCTGACATTGCAGTGTGTCACCAGGAGCCCCTCTTCACTGGACTTGGGTGGCGGTGGTTGTGGTGGTTATAAACTAAGGTGCTGTTATGACAGTATCAGCACCGACTCACATCTGCCATTTTTTTTTGTGAATAAAGGCAACAAGGGTGAATTCTCGTGAAAACTGTCTCGAATGAGTTCATTAGCAGGTGGAACATTTCATAAACTGTTTTATTTTGTTAAACATTTTGATTACACCACAGCAATGTAAAGCCACGTCCTAAAACTCAGGCTGAGGCTGAAACAGCAAGCCAGGGTGTGCTGCCAAACGGGAAATTTGGCACATGAAATATTGCTAAATGCATACTATAAAAGCTCCGCCGCGAATAAGTTATCAGAGAACCAGTCCGAAACTGGCCGTGGGAGAAATCCACTCTGGCAAGCTAGCAAAGAGAGCAAGCTAACCTTTTGTTTTCATCTCTCCTGTCAGTACAGTAGAGCCGAGGCCTGGCCACACTGCCCCTGAACAGCTACCACCCCGGCTAACGAGCTAGCTTCCAACCAAATGACAAAGACTCGAACAGGGTCACAAAACAAACTCGAGCAGCCGCCAAACTCGCAGGTCACGCCGGTAGAACAATATTACTTCTCCTTGTATTAAACACCGAGCGAAGTTAAGAGGCTATTAAAACTTTACAGCAGCTTACAGAAGTGAGCGATCAGAACAAAATATCCACGCCGCAAAAAAGCATCACGCGAACTTAAAATAATCTTTGAGACTATATCTATAAAAGCGAGCATCAGTCCAGCGGATAGTACATACATGTGGTCGAATATGAATATATAGGGCAGATTAGCATGTTAGCTAACTTATTAGCGGCAGTTGTTCAATCCCCTTGTTTTGTTGGGGCACGCAGGAAGCAGTCCGACAAAACTGGAAATATAAGCACATAAAGCGGCGAAAAACAAGCGCACGGTTCAACATAACAATCGGTGGACCTCGCCTGCTCACCCCGGCCGCAATCCACCCGTTAAACCGCCGTCATTACCCCGTTATCGTCCTTTATTGTTGTTATTGTCTCAGCTGATCTACATCTAAACAAGCCCCTGACGGTTTTCGCGCGAAATCTTTTTTGCCGCGAAACCAACACGTGCGCCAAGCAGTCGGTCGGGATTGGTCCGAGCTGTGCGCTTTTCGCGGGGCGGGGCCGAGGAGCTCTGATTGGCAGAAGCGGGTGTCTGTCACGTTACGAACGCAGATAAATCGATGAGAAGCGCGTTCGCGGAACTTGGAAAATAAAACATTTTATTTTAGTTGAAGCAAATATATTTAATTTATCAGGCAGATGTCAAGCAAGTTGTTTGTAATTAATATAAATTTACATTTTTGTTGTCGGAGTAAAAAAAAAAACTATTAACCGCAGTTCTTCTTGCCGGTCTCGTGTTCGAGAAGAGTTTCTCACAAATACTACTACTACTACTACTACTACTACTAATAATAATAATAACATTAATAATAACAAAACATGTCTGGGTGAAAGCGATTTTCCTTAGTTGAGCAGAGTTACCTCAAGAGGCAGCCATAGGTAATCGAGCGCCTACCACGCAGTAGGAGTGCTACAAGATGGCGCAGGCAATATTTGAGGTGCTGGAAGGTATGAGTATTTCTTTATTGGCAGCGTAATTACAGTTACCCAAAACGTTTGCTCCTACTTTAGACATTTCACTGATGTATGCCCATTTGGAAACGCAGAAAAATAACGTAAATCCACGTACGAGCCTCTGGTTTTGTTTCAATAAGGAAAACAGCACATAGGAAGGACTCTGTATGAATGTAAACAAACAAAGTGATTAAACACGTTTTCGACCTAACGGACAGCTTATTATTAATCGTAGTCACCGTATTGCTGTCAGATGGTAAATGTATTTACATTTCAGGGTGATTTTCTTTCCTTCAGGCCATCTTAATGACAAGACTTTGTAATATTACTGGACTAACAGCCTGTTTGTTGTAAATGAATTATTACTGTTATTGTTATTGTAAGTGAGTACAGTATCAGGAGATTACTGTACGCAGATTTGAAGTGGATGTAGAGATATCCTTATCGAAAGCTGTTAGTCTTCCACACTAATATTGCTTCTGATCACAGTTGATTTTTCTTTTAATAAGATAAAACTACTAATTCATGTTTAGACATTTCAGTAAGTCATGCATCACTTGTGTTCAGACTAAAATGGATCTTTGCAGCAGGTGAATTCTTCTTCTTACTCTTCAGGCATGGACAATCAGACAGTGCTGGCAGTCCAGTCACTGCTAGACAGCCAAGGAGGTGTTCCTGACCCAAACAACCAAAACGTCTCTGGGACGCCAACAATCCAGCCTATGGGTATGTAATGGCATGCACAGCTGCGGGACAGGCTGTGTTATTGTCCTGTTATTCTTTTATGTCAAGAGACATGTCATCCATCCATTTTCTGCCACCTATCTGGGTCTGGGTTGTTGGGCAGAAGGAGAGATGCCCGCCCATCTCTTCTAGCTATTACAGGAGAACACCAAGACATTCCCAAGCCAGCTGAGATATTTCTCTTCATTCTGTCCTGGATTTTTCCCAGTGCATTCTAAAGGGAGGATGTGTCGGAAAAATCCCTCAGGTAGCAGGTATTTTTGCCAGAATCACCTCAACTGGCTTCTTTCAGTGTGGAAGAGGATCAGACACAGAGCAATTCAGAAAACCCCATTAACAAGAACTAGAAATAGGGAACAGTTTACCCTGCCTAGGAGAGGGTTACCAAGGCCCAACCATGGAGTCAGACATGTGGCTTGAGGCAGAGCGCCTGGTGGTCAGACCTTATCCACGGGGCCTTTCCAGGCATAGCCAGAATGAGCAACAATGAGCCCACCACAAACAGAAGGTACCACAGGGGTTCGGTGCCTTGTGGATTGGGTGGCGGTCAGTGACCCTGGTGGTTGGATTCAGTTTAATTTGATTAAATCATCGCAGAGACCAAGGTTCTTGAAAAGTCTTGTCGTCAGATCAGCTTATTAAGTAAATGTCAGTTAAAACAATGTAAGTAGTATATAAGCACATGTTTTTCATCCTGATGTTGTTGCAGCTCATATTTGTGTCACATAACAAAAACCTTACACAAAAAGAAGAATCTAGAGGCAAGAATTTGACACGTTATTACGGTTGTGTTATTAATTAGTTAGCTATTAGCTGGTTCATCAAACCAAAATGAGGTCCTCGTGACAGACTCGACTGCTAGTTTCATTTATCTGGTGGTGCACACTTTTTGCTGTGAAATGATGTCATCGTGTGCAGTCTTTGAAAAATACTTTTCCTTTAAAATAGCTATTAAAGCCAAGTGCATCACTGCAAAAACATTACAGGATGAATATCACCACCCATTAAATGTCCAAAAGTGCATTAACATCCTCAAAATTGACTCATAAGTGTCTTTTTTTTCCCCCGTCTGCTGTTTCTTGCTGCCTAAAACCTTTATACAGACGACGAAGACGTGTTCCTGTGTGGGAAGTGTAAAAAACAGTTCAACTCTTTGCCTGCTTTCATGACGCACAAGAGGGAGCAGTGCCAGTCTAGCACCCCTTCTCTGTCCACAGTGTCCTTGGCCTCCACCAATGCCTACACGCCTGTCCCGTCTATTAGTTCAGTACCGCAGACTCCTGCCAACAGACAGGTGAGGAAAGCAAAAGGGCAATTTATCTGTGGGGGTGATAAATAACTTGCTCGGTTTAATAAGTTAGTTGTGCAGAGTGCAGAGCTTAAAGCGGTAATAAAACTGATAAGAAATGTAAAGAGAAGTGGGAAAGAGGTAATGGCCTGAGGTAAAGGTGACCTGATGGTAAAAGTATTTTATAAATACGTTATATAAGAGGCTGTAAAGGAAAAAAGATTTTGTTATAATGATTCAAAAAGCAGCTGATGTGACTGTTTAACTTGGCACTCACACAGGTGTCCACCTACATCACAGTCCCTCCCTCCCCTTTGACGCACACTCTGGTCCAAGGCAACGTGCTCGTCAGCGATGACATCCTCATGTCTGCCATCTCAGCCTTCACCTCCATCGACCAGCCCATGCCCCCCATGCAGACTCCCATACAGGTACTGTTTGCTTCCTTCTCTCCTTCACGCCCCAGCATTTGAATTTATTACATCCTGTCATCAAATCTGTCTGCTTCCTTTATGACAGAGTAACCTGAGCATGCACACAGCCGGTGTGTCCTACTTACAGCACCATCACCACCACCACCTCCATCACCTTCATCAACCGCAGCAGCAGCCCCCGCAGCAACAACAACAACAGCAGCAGCAGCCGCCCTCCCATCCCCTGCCACCTGCACAGCCCACCCAGCAGACACTCACTTCCCAGGTCCCAGCGAGCCACAGCAACTCAGTGGTGCAGGTGTACAGCACTCTGCCCCACATGGTCGGAGGTGGAGGGGGTGGCGGGGGTGGAGCTGAGATCCACACACTGGGTCTGCAGCCTTTCCATCCTGTGCAAGTGAGTGAGGCTTGCTGTTTGGTTGCCGTCGCAGTGGTTAAAATGATACGTTTCCAGTTTCTGTGACCGTGCGTGTCTTCCTCAGGTGCCCAGTCAGGGTGTGGAGAGTCATTCGTTCACAACCCCTCCCGTGTACAGCCCTGGGAAGCAGGGCACCAAAACCAAGACCTGCAGCATCACTGCCAGCATGGCGGAGCTGGGTGACTTTGAAAAGGTTATTGTTCCCAAGCGACCGAGGAACTGTAAAAAAAGCTCAGATGGAGTCGCAGGTACGTGTGGAAAGGTTTTACAGTTTTTACCTAATGGAACTGTAGAGGACAACATGATGGATGTTTATATAAACTGTATTAACTGTTTATATAAACTGTATTAACTGTTTATATAAACTGTATTAATTGTCTGAATTGGACTCCTCAGCAGAGCAGCTCAAGGGAAAAGTTCCGAAGCTCAAATGTAACTTCTGTGACAAAGTCTTCTCAAAAAACTTTGATCTCCAGCAGCACATTAGGAGGTGAGTTGCTTTCCAGGATGTAGACTCGACCAACTTTAAAGCTGAAATAAAGGATTCATTAAAACAATTTCCCTCTTGCAGCCACACGGGAGAGAAACCGTTTCAGTGCATCGTCTGCGGACGAGCCTTCGCGCAGAAGTCCAATGTGAAGAAACACATGCAGACACACAAGGTGCTGTGATATAGAGGTATCTGCGTGATGTATTTAAATTTTAATCAACACACTAACAACAGCTGTCTTTATCTTACAGGTGTGGCCTATGAGCGTGGCCAGCACTGTGTCTAGACTACCAATCACAGTAAAGGTGGTGCCAGTGCCCCCCAGTGAGGAAGAAGAAGGCGGGGAACGGCAGCAGGAAAGTGAGCGGGATGAGGACGGGATGCAGGAAACACAAGCAGAGGAGCCAATGCAAGCAGGTACCGTCTGTTAAATGACACACTGTGAAAAGGATATCAGTGTTCTGGAAATTCCAGCATTTGAATGTCCTGAGAATGTTGGGAAGAAACAATCAAAGTGTCCAAGTGGAAAAAACAGACTAAGATTCTACTAACAAACTTAGAAATGGACAAGCTGCTGTCATTGCGTAAGGGAAATAAACACCAACGCTCATAAGCCGGTTCCTCATTTGATGATGAGTAGGAAGGAGATGTCATCGCTGTAAACGGACTAAAAGCTGGAAATGTTTTAAACTGATAAACTGTCTCACAGTGTGAGGGAGAGCTACCTGTTAGTAGTAACTCACTGCTGGCTCCTCACTAAAGTGGGGTAGCTGGGCTCAGGATTAGAGGCTGTGGAGCATGGTCAGCCAGAGGGAGCAGAGACGCTGTTTCTTCAGGTTGAAAGGTGCTAGTTGAGGGTCAGGCATCTGATTAGGATGTCTTCTGGTTGCCTCCTCTTGGAGGTTTTCTGGGCACACCCAACTGCAAGCAGAGCCCGGTGTAGATCCAGAACCCACTGAAGAGTTTACTTACACATTGTCAGTACAAAACTGGGCTTGTTTTACTCTCCCTTTATGTATTTTTGGGAGTTCCTTTCTGATTTACTAACATTTGCTAACTGTGCTTATATCTGACGCAGAACAAAAGCATGTTTTTGCATTTGATATTAAAATGAACTGACTG